GAACAGCGGATGCGAGCCCATATCCTTGACACCAGGACCTACCGTGGAGCTGATCTGCCCTCTGACCATCGACTAGTCATCTATAAGATGCGCCTGCCATTCTTCCACTCCGGTGGTGGGTGTACACCCAGGACCCCATTCAACCCCTTAGTGGCATGGTCTCAGCTCGCTGGTGAAAGTTGCAAGCGAGAATTTCATCATCGCTTGCGGCTGGGGTTGGCATCGTCCCCCACTCCTGATGTCGAGGGGAAATGGGTGAGGTTTAGGACTGTGGCTCATGCAGCTGCAATGGCTGCTTTGGGTATATGGTCCAGCGACATGCCCAGTCTCATCATCTACAACATCCCACGTCAGTGAATGAGGAGGCCTACCGCAGCCTTCGCTCGGAGGTTCGGAGGGCCGTGAGGCGCTGCAAGGATGGGTGGTGGTCACGGGTTGCTGAGGAGATGAAGTCTGCCTCAATGGCCCACGATCACAAATCATTCTTTAACTCCATAAAAAAAGTAACCTGCAGCGCCACACCTATTACCATCATTAGGGGAAAGAACGGTGATCCAATCTCCTGACCCCCAGGAACAGGTTTGCAGATTTACTGAGCATTTCAATGAGGTCCTGGGGGAGGGGATGACACTGCTGAGGCTGCAGTATCTCAAATATTGAAAGAAGTCACCACCTGTGAGTGGCTGGCTGAGGTGCCATCTGTTTAGGAAGTACTGAAGGCGATCCAGAGTCTAAGCCCAGGAAAGGCACCGGGCAGAGATGATCTCCCAAGCGAAATGCTGAGGGAGGGTGGCATTTGCGCACAGACTGTCCCTACATGACATCATAACAACAGTCTGGACCACTGGATGGGTTCCGCAGGATTGGAAGGATGCCCTGGTGGTCCCCCCTCTTTAAGAAGGGGGACCGCACAGACTGTAACAACTACAGGGGCATCTCACTCCTCAGTGTGCCGGGAAAGGTCCATGGCAAAGATTATTCAACATCGCCTTGCTAGGCACGCTGAGGAGAGGCTTGCGGAGCCCTAATGCGATTTCAGGAAAGGGCGGTCCTGCACAGATGCCATATTTTGTCCGTCTGCTACAGCAGAGGTGTAGGGAATTCCAACAAGACCTACATCTCTGCTTTATGACCTGGTCAAAGCCTATGATACCATCAGTAGGCCTGGGCTCTGCATTGTTCTTCGTGCTTTTGGAGTCCCTGACCCTCTGCTCACGATCATTAAGGACCTTCATGATGGTGAGTGGGCCCGGGTAAAACTACGTGGCTGGGAGTCGGAGCCATTCTATATTCACCTTGGGGTGCGACAGGGATGTCCTCTGGCTCCCACATTATTTAACATCTATTTCGACCATGTAGTTCGTGAAGCCTTCAATAGCTGGGATGCTGATCGATGCCCGGGTTCGGTCAAGGGATGGCTCCCTATTGCTCAACCACGTTATGTATGCCGATGATCTGGTAGGTGCTGCTCACTCAGAGGAGTTGGAGACGCTGCTGCTGAACCTGGAGCTTGCCACGAAGAGGTGGGGCCTTACCATCAGCCCCACCAAAACTAAGCACCTGCCTGGGTATTTTGAACCATCGGACACTCCACCCCCACAACTCCCAATTGGTGATAGGGCAATTGTGGAGAGAGTGGAGAGTTTCCCATACCTGGACAGTGTGCTCATGACCTGCTCCGGTTTGACAGCAGAGGTCTCACTCCGTAGCAGTCGAGAGGCATTATTTCATCGGATGCGTAACGCTGTGTGGAAGCTACCTGGTCTGTCGCTCCGCACGAAGCTTCAGATCTTCTCGACCACAGTCATTCCCTCCCTTCTCTACACTTGCGAAACGTGGACCCCTCTAATAGAACATCATTCGCCGGTTAGAAACATTTAGGCTGGCCTGCCTACGATCCAGCTCACCGATGCACAAAGTCCCATCTGTGAGCTCCTCCGGCAGGCAAGGCTGCGTTGGCTGGGCCATGAAGCCCGCATGCCCATCCACCGCATGCCTAGACAGCTTTTGTTTGGCCGGATCGAGGGGGCTAAATGGGCGCGGCACGGGCTAGAGAAGAGATGGAGTGATGTGGTACAGGAGGACGTGGAGCTGAGTGGACTTGCCAATTGACTGGTACCAGCGGTGTCAAGATCGGCCTCTGTGGAGGAGGCTCGTGAAGGACGCTACTGGGAAGTTGGAGGCAGTCGCCCTCCAACAATAACGGAGGGCGGAGGAGCGACGCTCACAACAACGAGCGGAACGCCGGGTGGCTAAAGCACAGCAAGTTGGCACAGTAGGGGGCACAGCTGGTGCATCAGCCAGTCATCTCGGTCATCTCGGTCAGTCGACCCGTGGCACCTGCTGGGTCTGCCCCGTGACCTCCTGCCAGCGGGCGTTCGACACTTCACGTGGCCTCAAGGTGCACATGGCCTGGCACAAGCGTCGTGGTGACGTCACCGCCACTTAGTGGCAAATGGCGGTTGTTGTTGTTGTTGGTTGGTTGTGGTGGTAGTGGTGGTGGTGGCGGTGGAGAGCCGCATCCAGAATGGGAATCATTTGATCCTACGGCAGGAGGACTCCGGCGAGCTGTAAAGCTCCGTTGTTGTTGTGTAGTTGTGTTGTTGTGTAGTTGTTGTTGTTGTGTAGTTGCTGTTGTGTAGTTGTGTAGTTGTGTTGTTGTGTAGTTGTTGTTGTGTAGTTGTGTTGTTGTGTAGTTGTTGTTGTTGTGTAGTTGCTGTTGTGTAGTTGTGTTGTTGTGTAGTTGTGTTGTTGTGTAGTTGTTGTTGTGTAGTTGTGTAGTTGTGTTGTTGTGTAGTTGTGTTGTTGTGTAGTTGTTGTTGTGTAGTTGTGTAGTTGTTGTGTAGTTGTGTTGTTGTTGTGTAGTTGTTGTGTAGTTGTGTTGTTGTGTAGTTGTTGTTGTGTAGTTGTGTGTTGTGTAGTTGTTGTGTAGTTGTGTTGTGTAGTTGTGTTGTTGTGTAGTTGTTGTGTAGTTGTGTTGTGTGTAGTTGTTGTTGTTGTGTTTTGTTTGTAGTTGGTTGTTGTGTAGTTGTTGTTGTTAGTTGTTGTTGTGTAGTCGTGTTGTTGTGTAGTCGTTGTGTAGTTGTGTTGTTGTGTTGTTGTGTAGTTGTTTTGTGTAGTTGTTGTGTAGTTGTGTTGATGTGTAGTTGTTGTTGTTGTGTGTTGTTGTGTAGTTGTTGTGTAGTTGTGTTGTTGGTAGTGTTGTTGTGTAGTTGTGTTGTTGTGTAGTTGTTGTTGTGTAGTTGTGTTTGTTGTTGTGTAGTTGTTGTTGTGTTGTTGTGTTTGTTGTTGTGTTGTTGTTGTGTGTAGTTGTGTTGTGTAGTTGTTGTTGTGTAGTTGTGTGTGTAGTTGTTGTGTGTAGTTGTTGTTGTGTTGTGTTGTTGTGTAGTTGTTGTTGTGTAGTTGTTGTTGTTTGTGTGTTGTGTATGTGTTGTGTAGTTGTTGTTGTTTGTTGTTGTTGTGTAGTCGTTGTTGTTGTGTAGTTGTTGTTGTGAAGTTGTTGTTGTGAAGTTGTTGTTGTGTAGTTGTTGTTGTGAAGTTGTTGTTGTGTAGTTGTGGTTGTGTAGTTGTGTTGTTGTGAAGTTGTTGTTGTGTAGTTGTTGTTGTGTAGTTGTTGTTGTGTTGTTGTTGTGTAGTTGTTGTTGTGAAGTTGTTGTTGTGTAGTTGTGTTGTTGTGTAGTTGTGTTGTTGTGTAGTTGTTGTTGTGTAGTTGTTGTTGTGTAGTTGTGTTGTTGTGTAGTTGTTGTTGTGTAGTTGTTGTTGTGTAGTTGTTGTTGTTGTGTAGTTGTTGTTGTGTAGTTGTTGTTGTGTAGTTGTGTTGTTGTTTAACACGTAGGCTTTCGCGACCAATATTATTCATAATCAACGTTTTTGGGTTTAGATCGCGTTATTTATAAATGTGTCGTAACCCTCCACCACCCAATCTAGTATATAATTACAATAACCCCGCCCCTCAAATCGTTGCACCTGATGAGTTAATGATGACGTCACCCTACTGCTGCTCTATATAAGAACGGGAGACAGAGCAGAGCCTCACCATTCTGGCGAATTGCCCGATGATGCTGGATGCAATTACCAGCGAAACGTCGTGCTACTCAAATTGTAAATGTTGTGGTTTCACGCTTCAACACACCGGTGGGCTAAAGCAGTGAACTATTTGTCTTTTGTCAGCGTGACACTTTTTAAAATCCTTTATATTAAGTTCACTTGCTTGCTTGCGCGCTTACGACCGTGCAAGTCTTTCGGTCGTTTTTAACCCACTTCCCGTGATCCAATCGAGCTGACATTTTGCAACACAGACTCGTTGTGCGTGACAATTTCTTTTCGTGAAATTTTTTTTCCAAAATGTTACACTTTTTAGGCAATTTATTTATTTTATTACCAATTGCTTAATGGTGACAGGCAATCATCTGACCCATAGGTGGCAGCCATCTCAAGCCAGAGGACGAGAGGACTCTAGCCGCCCGTTTCAAAGACCAATGTGGGCTGGGTTGTGGCCCATTCAACACGCATATAAAGGATTTATAGTGAAAAACTTTGTTTTTACGGGTTAATTTTTTACTGATTGGCCGTGTCGGGTGGTGGAGGGTTACGACACATTTATAAATAACGCCATCTAAACCCAAACAACGTTGATTATGAATTGTGTTGTGTCGTATTATTGTTGTTTTTGACGACACAGCTGTCCGCCAGGGGGACACGGGCTCACAACGAGGCGCTCGTTTATGTCCGAGGCGACCTGCGGTGGGGAAGGGGGGAGGGAGGCCCCCGCACGCACCCTGTCCAGGCTGCAGTCGCTCACGATCTGCACGCAGGCGCGGTCCGCAAACTCCGCGGCGAAGGCTCTTCCACCTCCACCTCCTCCTCCTCGGTCTCCTCCTCTGCTTCCTCCTCTTCCTCCCTCACCTCTTCCTCCCTCACCTCCTCCTGTCTCTCTTTCTCCCCCTCCAATTCCTCCCTCACCCCTTCCTTCCCTCTCCTCCTCCTACCGCCTCTCCCAGCCGCGTGCCGGCCGCCCGCAGCGCCACCCTCAACGCCGCCAGCAGCGGTGCCCTGGACCCCGAATCCCACGGCCGGACCCGGGCACCCGGCCCCGACTCTGGGCGCGAGCCCAGGGCCCCGGGCTTGCCCCCGCCACGGGTGTCACCGGGGCCGTGAATCGTCAGCGTCGCAGAGCAGATGTGCCGCAGGTAGCGGGACCATCGCTCCTCCGCTCCCTCCTCCGCACGGTCGCTATGTCTACTCACGGTCGCCGCTGCGGCTTCTCCTCCTCGTCCGCCACCTCCATCACCACCTCCACCACCTCCACCACCACCTCCACCACCACCACATCCTCCTCCTCCACCACCTCCTCTTGTCAGGAGGAGGGATCGAAGACATTGCAAGGATTGGAGGCGGCTGGAATGATAGAGCCCTGGCGAGTGAGCGCCACCAACACCATCGCCATCATCGTCGTCGTCGTCGTTGTCGTCATCGCAGACATCATCCCCATCATCACTACCATCACCACCGTCAAGCCGATCGGTGATGTCGCCCTGGTGATGGCGATGGTGGTGTTGGTCGTGGTGACGTTGATGTCGTTGATGGGGGAGGACGCCGCTGACGTCATTGTTGACGTTGTTGACGTCGTCCTGGATGCTCGTCGTTGGTGTTTGAGCGGAGACCTGGCCAACTGGGGAACACATCACCATCATCATCATCACCATCATTATTACCATCATCATCACCATCATCATCACCATCATCACCATCATCACCATCATCAACATCACCATTATCACCATCATCAACATCATAACCATCAATATCACCAACACAACATCACCAATATCAACATCATCATTAACACATCAACATCATAAATACATCAACATCATCAACACATCACCATCATCAGCATCATCACCATCAACCCACAGACTCACACAGAGACCCATAGACTCACACAGAGACCTATAGACTCACACAGAGACCCACAGACTCACACGGATACCCACAGACTCACACAGAGACCCATAGACTCACACAGAGACCCATAGACTCACACAGAGACCCATAGACTCACACAGAGACCAATAGCCTCACACAGACATCCAGACTAACACAGAGACCCATAGACTCACACAGAGACCCATAGACTCACACAGAGACCCATAAACACACAGAGACCCATAGACTCACACAGAGACCCATAGACTCACACAGACTCACACGAAGACCCATAGACTCACACAGAGACCCATAGACTCACAAAGAGACCCATAAACTCACACAGAGACCCATAGACTCACACAGAGACCCATAGACTCACACAGACTCACACGGAGACCCATAGACTCACACAGAGAGACCCATAGACTCACACAGAGAGACCCATAAACTCACACAGAGAGACCCATAGACTCCGTGAGCCCGTGTCTCCGTGTGCCCGTGTCTCCGTGTCTCCCTGTCCCAGTGTCTCCCCGTGTCTCCGTGTCTCCCCGTGTCTCCCCGTGTCTCCCCGTGTCTCCCCGTGTCTACGTGCTCACGCTGTATCAGCTGAGACGGCTCCAGCTGCTGTCCCGGTCCCCACGCTCTGTCACCACGTCTCCCCGCGCGGCCTCCACCTCCTCCTCCACCTCCTCCTCCACCACCTCCTCCACCACCTCCTCCTCCACCTCCTCCTCCACCTCCTCCTCCACCACCTCCTCCACCTCCTCCTCCACCACCTCCTCCACCTCCTCCTCCACCTCCTCCTCCACCTCCTCCTCCACCACCTCCTCCACCTCCTCCTCCACCTCCGCACCGCCTCGCCGCGTCTTCGCCGAGCTCTATCCACTGCTGCAGCTCCCTCGCTCGCTCGACCGCCCGCCCGGGAGGAGCCCCCCGGATCACAAGCGACCGCCAAAGCCATAGAGAGCACGGGGGGCACGCACACTGGGGGGGGGGCTCTGTGGGGGAGACAGGGGGGGGGACGTTACACCACGTGACCCACACACCACGTTACAACAACAACAACCGCCATTCGCCAACTAAGTGGCGTTGATGTCACCACGACGCTTGTGCCAGGCCATGTGCACCTTGAGGCTACCACGTGAAGTGTCGAACGCCCGCTGGCAGGAGGTCACGGGACAGACCCAGCAGGTGCCACGGGTCGACTGACTGAGATGACCGAGATGACTGGCTGATGCACCACCTGTGCCCCCTACTGTGCCAACTTGCTGTGCTTTAGCCACCCGGCGCTCCGCTCGTTGTTGTGAGCGTCGCTCCTCCGCCCTCTGTTGTTGTTGGAGGGCGACTGCCTCCAACTGCCCAGTAGCGTCCTTCACGAGCCTCCTCCATCGGCAAGTCCACTCAGCTCCACATCCTCCTGTACCACATCACTCCATCTCTTCTCTAGCCCGTGCCACGCCCGTTTAGCCCCCTTGATCCGGCTGAACAAAAGCTGGTTAGGCATGCGGTTGACTGGGCATGCGGGCTCCATGATCCAGCCAACGCAGCCTTGCCTGCAGGAGCTCACCGATGGGACTTTGTGTGAGTCTATGGGTCTCTGTGTCAATAAAGCAAAGATGTAGGTCTTGTTGGAATTCCCTACACCTCTGCTGTAGCAGACGGACAGAAAATATGGCATCCGTGTAGGACCACCCTTTCCTGAAACCGCATTGGGGCTCCGTAAGCCTCTCCTCAGCGTGCCTAGCAAGGCGATGTTGAATAATCCTTGCCAGGACCTTTCCCGGCACACTGAGGAGTGAGATGCCCTGTAGTTGTTACAGTCTGTGCGCTCCCCCTTCTTAAAAGGGGGACCAACAGGGCATCCTTCCAGTCCTGCGGAACCCGTCCAGTGGTCCAGACTGTTGCTATGATGTTATGTAGGGCAGTCTGTGCACAAACGCCACCCTCCCTCAGCATTTCACTTGGGAGATCATCTCTGCCCGGTGCCTTTCCTGGTCTCAGACTCCGGATCGCCTTCAGTACTTCCTCAACAGATGGCACCTCAGCCATCCACTCACAGGGGGTGACTTCTCTCAATATTTGAGACACCGTAGCCTCAGCAGGGTCATCCCCACTTTGTCCCACGATGTTTTCCATGCCGAGGGATTTCCCCTTCCCCAGGACCTCACAGAAATGCTCAGCATATCTGCAAACCTGTTCTTGGGGGTCGGAGATTGGATCACCATTCCTAACCCTAATGATGGTAATAGGTGTGGCGCTGCAGGTTACTTTTTTTATGGAATTAAAGAGCGATTTGTGATCGCGGGCCACTGAGGCTGACTCCATTTCCTCAGCAACCTCATCGGCCTTGGCTGCATCCCTCCCTGGATGTTCGTCTTCGTTAGGGGCATAAGTAACCACGACCACCACTCCTCGCCTCTGGTTGATAGGAAGGCGAGCCCAAAGTAGCCTGGGGCTTACAGCTTCCCACACCTCACCGCCACGCTCCCACGCCCCCTTCGTTCTTTTGTCCAGAAGAAGAGCCACTCCCTGTTGTTTGGCAGCCTCCTTCCCCGAGTGGAGGACTGTCCACCCCTCATGGTGGCAGGAGCCAGAGCCGGACCACCGGACCTGCTGAATACCGCAGAGATCCAGGCGGTACCGGTCCAGCTCCCGACAGAGGAGTGGCAGCCTCTCCTCCGCAGTGAGCGTTCGAACATTCCACGCGGCCACACGAAGTGATTGTGTTGTTTCTGGTGGAGCCCTGAGGGTAAAGATTCAATCTCCTGGCTCCGCCAAATGGGGTTTGGCCAGGAGACGTCATAGACGCCTGTCCCCCCGGGGCCTCCGGCACAAGCTTATCAATTAAAATTTGGCGTCGTGGTTTAACGGTAAGTTAATTGAAGGTGGAGGGGTTACCAGCCCCTCGCACCCGTCCAGAGCCCCCATTTAGCCGCTGTGGTGGCTACACACACCACGTGACACACACACCACGTGACACATCACGTGACCCACACACCACGTGACCCACACGCCACGTGACACACACTCCACGTGACACACACACCACGTGACACACACACCACGTGACCCACACGTGACACACACGTGACACACACACCACGTGACCCACGCACCACGTCACACACACACCACGTGACACACACACCACGTGACACACACGTGACACACACACCACGTGACCCACGCACCACGTCACACACACACCACGTGACACACACACACCACGTGACCCACACACCACGTGACACACACAACACGTGACCCACGCTCCACGTCACACACACACCACGTGACACACACACACCACGTGACCCACACACCACGTGACACACACACCACGTGACACACACACCACGTGACACACACACCACGTGACCCACGCTCCACGTCACACACACACCACGTGACACACACACACCACGTGACCCACACACCACGTGACACACACACCACGTGACACACACACCACGTGACACACACACCACGTGAAACACACCACGTGACCCACACACCACGTGACACACACCACGTGACCTACCTCGATTCCATGGCGCGCGCTACTTCTCCTGGCCTCGAGAGCTGCCGTAAACCGTGTGTTTTGGTGTGTTTTACGACACCAGCTGTAATTTTACGTCACTCGACGTAAACACAGGTTCACTGCCGCAAAGCCGAAGGTTGTTTTTTACGACACCAGCAGTCGTTTTACGACACCTAACGTAAATCTGCCGTAAAGCATAGTGTTGTGTTTTACGACACCCTCAGTCACTTTTACGCCACTTGACGAGGACACGATTTTACGACACCTGCCGTAAATCTTAGAGTTGTGTTTTACGACACCTGCCGTAACCCCCTCCCCTACCGTTGTGTTTTACGACACCCGCCACAACTATTTTTACGACACCTGCCGTAAGGTAAACTGATCTCTGTGACTGAACGTTCCTTCAGTGCGGTGATCAATCAATAATGAATCTATAACAGCTCCATCGTTAATCTATAATTAATCTATAACAGATCTATACTTAATCTATAGCTACGGCGGAGCAGATCAGCGGGCATCTTACGGCTGGTAGCAAACGAAACCACCGCCTTAGAGCAGGATGTTCGTAAGTCGAGGACCGTATGTAGCGTAATATGTAAGATATTTTTAAAAATAAATGTAAAACAGATCTATAGTTAAGATGTAAGGGTGTTTAGATGATTAGCTGTGAACGTCGAACGCAGCCGTTCGCCCGCGGTAGCTACACGACGGAGCAATTCTATGGGTAGCAACGCGTTCGTAAGTCGAGGACCGCATACCCTTTTTAAATCCTTTATATTAAGTTCACTTGCTTGCGTGCTTGCGCGCTTACGACCGTGCAAATCTTTCGGTCGTTTTTTAACCCACTTCCCGTGATCCAATCGAGCTGACATTTTGCACACAGACTCTTTGTGCGAGACAATTAATGTTCGTGAATTTTTTTTCTTCCAAAATTTTACACTGTTTAGGGAAAACAAATTAAATATTTAATTACCAATTGCTTAATACTGCAGACAATCATCTGACCCATAGGTGGCAGCCATCTCAAGCCAGAGGACGAGAGGACTCTAGCCGCCACGCATATAAAGGATTTATAGTGAAAAACTTTGTTTTTACGGGTTTACTTATTTAATATTTAAGCTAATTTAGATGATTTGGCTTGCGGCTTATTGAACGTCCGCGGCCTTGAGCCGCCTCCGTCGAGAGCGGCCGAAAGCTCGCGGCAGCTACGACGGAGCAGATCGGCTTAAAATAAAACAAGTATAACCCGTAAAAACAAAGTTTTTCACTATAAATCCTTTATATGCATGGCGGCTAGAGTCCTCTCGTCCTCTGGCTTGAGATGGCTGCCACCTATGGGTCAGATGATTGTCTGCCAGTATTAAGCAATTGGTAATTAAATATTTAATTTGTTTTCCCTAAAAAGTGTAAAATTTTTTAACAAATTTTTCACGAACATTAATTGTCTCGCACAACGAGTCTGTGTGCAAAATGTCAGCTCGATTGGATCACGGGAAGTGGGTTAAAACACGACAGAAAGATTTGCACGGTCGTAAGCAAGCAAGCAAGCGAACTTAATATAAAGGATTTAAAAAGCCGCCGCGTGCGTAAGTCGGGGTGTCCGTAAGTCGGGGTGTCCGTAAGTCCGGGTGTCCATATGTCGATGACGCTCGTAAGTTTGGGGTGTTCTTACGTCGGGGGGATTCGAGATACGTAAAGTGAAGTGAAAGTTTGACTTGAAACTGGTGATGTTGGCGCGGTCTCGACCTTTCGACGTCTCCATCAGCAGTGCTCTCTCTGTCGGTGTGGTGGGGTTGGTGGGCCGCGTGGAGAGCAGAGCGCCAGCCATGTGCGTGGGCTGCGTCGTGACGGCGTTCCCCGCCCGGGGCTCCACCTGCCTGGAGACCGGCGCTTTCCTCCTCAACTTTGCCGCCTGCGCCGCCTGCAGGCGCCGCGACGCCGTCGACGCCAGCGGACGGCAGGTGCGGCGGCCCGGGGGCGGTGGCCGACCGCGGCGGCGGCGGCGCAGTGGGGCGAGCCGGTGCCGTGACCGCTGGTGGCGGTGGTGGTGGGGTGGTGGTGATGGTGGTGGTGGAGGAGGTGACAGTGGTGGCAGTGTTGATGGTGGCGTTGATGGTGGTGGTGGCGGTGGCGGCGTTGATGGTGGCGGTGGTGGCGTTGATGGTGGTGGTGATGGTGGTGGTGGCAGTGGTGGTGAAGGCGTTGATGGTGGTGGTGGCGGTGGTGGCGTTGATGGTGGTGGTGGTGCCGGTGGCGGTGGCAGTGTTGATGGTGGCGGTGGCGGCGTTGATGGTGGTGGTGGCAGTGGCGGTGGTGGCGAGCGGCGCACGCGAGAGGCGCGGGAGGGAAGCAATGACAGCGACGATAGCGACGACGATGAAGACGACGATGAAGATGACAACGACGAAGACGACGACGACGATGACGACGAGGAGGAGGAGGTGGTGACGTACGAGCACGTGTGCGCGGCGTGCGGCCACGCGGTGGCCACGCACGAGTTCACGTGCGCGCTGTCCGGGGGCTACCGGGCGTACGCCATGCACTGCCTGCTGTGCGGGCGTGCCGAGCGGGAGGTCAGCGTGCTGCCACACGACCCACGCTGGGCACTCGCTACGTTCTGAGGCACGCGCGCCACGGATTGAATGAGGGGTTGGTGGGCCGATTGACTGATTGATGAGCTGAGTGATAAACTAATTGATGGACTGATTGATGGACTGATTGATAAACAAATTGATGAACAAATTGATGGATGCATGCACTGATTGATTAATGGACGGATTGATGGACAGATTGATTGACTGATTGATGGGTTGAGTGATAAACTGATTGATGGACTGTTTGATAAACAAATTGATGAACAAATTGATGGATGCATGCACTGATTCATGGACTGATTCATGGACAGATTGACTGATGGGCTGAGTGATAAACTAATTGATGGACTGATTGATGAACACATTGATGGATGCATGCACTGATTGTGTAATGGACGGATTGATGGACAGATTGATTGACTGATTGATGAGCTGAGTAATAAACTAATTGATGGACTGATTGATGGACTAATCTTAATTTGAAGCTTTCGTGACTGCAGGAATCCATACTCTCTGGTTCTTTCGGTAAAGTCACGTAGCTAGAAAAAATAATAAAAGATCACGACGTTTCGATCGCAACACAAGCGTCCATCATCAGGTGAGAAAGAATGATCTGCTGTTGTGGCTTTATATAGGCACGGCGGGGAGGGGTTTTGTAAAGTCTGACTGCAGGAGTTTGATGAACAAATTGATGGATGTATGTGTAGTGACTCAACCTGGAGACAGTAAGACTTGGAGGCACTTCTTTTTTATTAACAAGCACCATCGGGGTAACACACAACACCCTACGTGGGTGCACACTATGATTATTATTAAGACCGTCTATTGTCAGCGGCACTACTAAGGTAGAACAGTTGGTAGGCCGTTTGACTAACAGCGCCCCGGGATGGTGAAGACGGACACGACGGCGAGGAGATGGCGACGACGGTGGACTTGAGCAGCACGATGAGGATCCCGCTTCCAGCGACAGCCCCGAGCTCCCGTTCAGGGCCCCCTTTTAGACTCCCAGCGCGGCCTTGCTCCGCCCCGACCACACCCCCTTTCTGGAACCTACTGGCGGGTTGCCGGGGCTCCCTGATGGGCCCATTCTATGAACTTTCCCCAAGATGCCCCCCTCTCGTATATACCCTGGCCTGCTGGTGTGAGTACTGCCGTTCACCGCAGTTACCTCTTTTCCGCCAGCAGCCAGCGCTATACGCCTACATATGCACTGATTGATTAATGGACGGATTGATGGACAGATTGATTGACTGATGGCCTGAGTGATAAACTAATTGATGGACTGTTTGGAAAACGAATTGATGGATGTATGTATGCACTGATTAATGGACAGATTGATGGATGGATAGTTGTGTTGAATGGTGAATGGATTGATGGATGTGGTTGGTTTACGTGTTTTTGTTATAGTTTGGTGGTCGTATTGCCCAATAAAATTCACACTCCTGGGCGCTCAAGGTCTGGATGTCCTCTGTCTCTGCGTTTTCGTCCCTCTCCCTCGCTGCGTCCCTCGCAAATTAATTTTCTCAAAGACGAAACGTTACAGATTTGTTTTATTCGTTCATATACCCCACCACTCCCACCACCACTCCTCCGCACACGCCAAAGAATTCACCCCTTCTACCAGTGCCGAATGATCCTAGTAACAAAAGTAGCAAATGCTACGGACCCCGGCACTTTCAAGGGAGTCCGCGCTAAAAGCTTACAAGCAATCAAATCCGGTTCAGTGATTCTGCACTTGCTCTATTACTATAGTACTATACCACCCTTCAACTTTTATGAACGACTGGATGTTTAAGGATTGCGATTTGTCGTATTGTAATAAAGCTCGTTGAGGCGACTTCTGGAATCCGTCTTTTATTCAACTTGTATTACAGCTTTCCTTCACGCTGCTGACAGGCAGCATGAGAGGGACAGATAGAGAGACGCACTGCCACGTGGCAACCCGGAGCCCCGCTCCTGCGTGGCCCCCTTCCTCTGTTCGTTCCCGTTCTGACCACGTGTCGTCCGTCTCCACCCCTATTTAATACCCGGGTCACGTGGTACGTTTCCACCAATCCTGGTTAGCCTCTGGAATATTCCAGAGGCTCCCGGGACCACGCCCCTGACTCGTCTTCCCATTGGCTGTGGCCAAAGCCAGCAGAACCAATCCTCTACTTGCAGCTGTCATCTTTCTATTATGTCAGGGCCACGCCCCTAGGCTTCCCCCCATTAGCTATGAACCAGGACCGGCAGAACCAATCGTCCTGACGAGTTGTAATCCGTCAACGACCCGGATAGAACCTCACATTACAGTATTATCTGGCTGTATAGAAAGTGAAAAAATACAATGACTTTACTCTGCAAGTTAAACATGTTTCTGTTTTAATATTAACGTGTTTTAATATTAATGTTTATGTATTTAGTGCCTCTTTATAACAACACATGCTGCAGGCCCCACGCTAGCTTCATCCGGCACTGTCTATTACTATAGTACTATACTGCCTTCAACTTTTAGCTTCATCCGGCACTGACAGCGGTGCCGGGAAAAATGTTTCCACGTTTCATCAAAATTCACCCGCAGAAACGATTCCTTCTGGGGACGAACCCCTTCGTTCACGACACGATCCCTGACTGGCAGGGTGACATCGACTCGCATGCCGGTGCTGCTCCACGCTTTCTGCCACGCAGGGACAGCTGCCCTCTGGGCGGCGGAGTGTTGTATATATTGGGTCTTTAATTTTTTGTAAAAATAATACAAATTGAATGCAAAGTGAACGAGAAATGATGCTAATTTGTGTATTTATGCAAATTATGC